CCGGGCTTCTGAGTTGAAAGGTTCATCTGAATAGTCATGCGTAAAGGATCCTAAGGCACGTCCCAGCCTACCAGAAGTTATGAGCCGTCAGGGGGAAATCGCACATGCAAAAACGAAGCTGCAAGTGAAGCTGCCAGTGCATCCTGCAAACAGGGTTTGCTCAGTTCAACATATTTTTTCCAAGTGCAGCAACAGAAGAGTCAGAAGAGTCGTCCCTTGCGAGATATCCATGGCTAACGTTGCCGCTTGGCAAAAAAATAGCACCTAGGACCTAGCCCTTGATTGTCACCATGGGAGCACCAGCATTCCCTCCACGGCCGCCATCGCCGCCCTTTGGTGGGCGCTTTTTTCCTCCAGCCTTGGACTCAACAACATGTTGTGAACAAAGTTTCATCTCAGTCAAACTCGACGGTTTAAACTAAAGCAGTGCTTGCGAGAAGCCGGGTTGGGCTCCTCCATGTACGGCATCGGCGTCGCCTGATCAAAACGACGAGTGCACAGGTTGAAAGAATAAGGAGCAGGGGTCTAGAATTTGTTTATTGGTATCTTGCCTTAGCTTTCTTCCTGGGCTTCGTCTTGGTTTTTGGCTTAAGCTTCTTCACCTTGCCAGGTCCATCATCCTTTGGCTTCTCCTGCTCCTCCTCCTCCTTCTCATCTTCTTTCTCATTGTACCATGTATCATCAGCTTCCCACTTATTCAATCTGCATTCCTTGTTCAAGCAGCTCCCGTCATCCTGGCGGCAAGAAATGCAACAGATAGACACAGGGCAGGCAGGGCAGTCGCACTCAGGCCGGCCTTCCGGGTTTTGACGTAACAGAGCCTACACCATCCAAGGTCGTGGCGGCGTCTGTGTATGGGATGCTCTGGCGGAAAATTTCTCATCCAGGGCTGCTTCTGGCGCCAATCGTCGTGGGCCCAGCCGCCTTGCCAGCCCCTCTTTTTCCACCACTCGTCCTTATCCTCCTTGTCGTAGTCCGTTTTCAGCCACCCATCATCATCATCCTTTTTTTTGTCGTCACCCGTGGCCGTGTCCGGAAGCGGATCCTTGCTGGCCGCCGGCTCCACCTTAGCATTGTCTGCCGGAGCCTCGCCTTTTGCCCCATCCTCCTTACCATCATCCTTTTCCTCCTCCTTTTTCCCGGGCTCCGGAGCTGTCAGGGCCATCATTGGCGGCGGCGGCGGGGGGAAGGGTTCCGCCTTCTTTGGTGGCTCCACCTCGGCATCCGTCTGCTTGTCTTCCTCCTCCTCCTCCTCTTCTTGGTCCTCCACGGGGTGCTCTGGCTCCGGGGTCGGCTCCTCCCACTTGTCAGGCAGGCCTGAAACGAGGAGCTTTCGATAATTGAGTTCTGTATTTTTACAGGCAGTTTTCGAAATTGCTGAGGCCAGGGCCTAAGGCTGTGCTCAGAGCCCTTTGCACTGCACGTCAAAGTTCTCGTAATCCGTGCACCCTTGCCATGCGTAGGTCCTTGGGCAGGACGAAACTCCAAAGACGGCAGCACCTGAGATCGAACTTTACATACATGCAGACAAGCAGCGGTGCCACTTTCCGGTGCCCTTCCCAGATCCACGGCCTCGGCCTCCTTTGCCCATGCTGCTGCTGCTGCTTTACAGTAGGTTGTGGGACTTCGGGGCTCACAGCTCGGGCCACAGACTTCACAAGCAGTAGAGCTGCAGACCCCACTCCGACGAAAAACAAAACCCTCGCAAGATTGCAGATCAGTTCGGCGAAGCTACAACTTGGAAGCATGCGTTTTGCTGCTGCTTTGCTGCAGGACGTCTGCTGCCGGTGAGAAACGATGAACTTCTATGAAGCCAAAACCTTGCCATGTTTCAGGCAATGCCCGCCGTAAGCGAGGCTCGCTGACGACAAAACTACAGTCTGCAACTGCCCAGCAATATGCTCTGAAGTCTTATCATACCTTGGAGCCGAACAGATTCATAGCAAGAACAAAGACCCTATTGGGAAACAACAAGTAACTCGCTTGAGTGTGTGGGGCAGCACAGAACCGTGCGGAGCAGCTTCAGCTCAACAACAAGGCCTTCTGTGCCGGCAGTACAATGTCAGCTGTCGTCAAAACCAAGGGGCGGACCGGAGTCAATCCGGTAACCGTCCAGCGACAGGTCCACTTCAGCCCTGTTCCTTTGGTCTCCCATTTCGATGGGGTCACTGCCAAGGCCAAGTTGCCCTGCGTGTACTTCGGCACACCGTTCTCCTGAGGCACCTGGTTCTCCTCGGGCAAAAAGACGACGTTGTGCTCCTGCAGAAACGGCACTTAGCTACTGCTCATGAACAAAAACCAGGGGCAATGTGCGGAAGGAAGCAAGCAGCAAAAAAACAACATTCACACGTTCAAGACAAAACACTTTCTTCAGATCGTAGTCGTCAGTCACACCAGGCTTAGGAGTCGTCTTGTGATAGGCCACCATGACCTCGCCGGCCCTTTGGTGATCTTTGAGAACCTGCTTCAGGTCGAGCACTTTGTTGTCGATCATGACCACGTCGTCGGTGGTCGTCAGCTCGAAGGGGATGTTCAGGACTCCCTGCTTGGGAGTCTGGGTCCATTTGCCTCGGCCGAAGGCAGCCAGCACCACGTGCTGGAGCACCGTCGCAGACTGGGAAGTCTTGTTGCAGATGTACATCGCACCATCCCTGAGCACGAAGTAGACTTGCTCAGTTTCTCCCTTTGCTCGCACAGCGTTTCCGATCGGCACCTGAAGGGTATCACATATCAAAAGCAACCCAAATCACAAAGCCACCCCCTTTACACCACAGCATGAAACAGCCCCTAAATCCTTAAACCCTGAACCCTAAAATTAAACCCGAAGCCCGTCGTTGCTGGCCTCCTGCAGCAATGTTCCGTTCATGTCATCCAAGCCGACAAGGTCGCTGTCCTCAATCTTGAGCTTCTTGGCTTGGCTCCCCGAAGAGCCTGCGGGTGAAGGCCGCTTGTTGACTCCTGCTTTGGCCTGAGCTTTTGCAGCTGCCTTGAGTTCTTCCAGCGTGCCGTACTTGTCAGCCAACTGCTGCTTCAAAGTCTGAAACTCATCCTTGAAAATCGGGTGGCTGCACCACTTGCGAATGTCGACTTCGGAAAAGCTGAGCAGGACCGGCACATCATTGTCATCCTTCCAGCATAATAAACAATAGAGCCGAACAACAACAGTAAGAATTACATTATATACACATGACATATTAAAAGTCGAAGCTCCTTGCCGTAGACCAATCGTTTCAAAGGTGGAGCCGCAGGCTCCACGAGTGCCGTCGCCGGCACCTGTTTTGGGCGCCTAAGTTCGCAGCAAGCATGGCATCGAGACTTCAAACAGCGAATGAGCCCTGGTGCCGAGCGTGGCATCTTTCAGCCAGGCAAGCATATTGCAGCCAGAGTGACGGGCAAAGTCATTGATTGCTTCATTGGCATTATTGCAGCCAGAAGAGTCAAATTCAACCAAAGATTCATCTGCCGTGTTGCTTGGCGAAGCCAGGGACCGAGAATGTGCCCTCCAGGTACTGGTCGACCAAGAGGGACTTGTGCGTGGTCTCAAACCACTCCTGGGACGTAGCATCCGGAAGCATGGCGGTGTAGTGCAGTGCGTGGTTCGAGGTCTGCTGCAGCTGAACGAAAGCTTGCCACATGTTGCCCACGTCCGGCACCAAGTCGAGCAAGTGCACCAGCATCGTGCTCGGGATGTCGACGTTCTCCTGGTTTGCGGCAGCTACGACTCAGGACTGTCGGGTTAGACGGTTAGACCGCCAACTTCAGCAAAAACTATAAAGTCAAGTTTCGAACAGGCTCGAAACCAGGGCGGAGCAGGCGTCTTTGCCGAGCTGAGCATACTTCGCGGCTCCTTTCAGGGGAATGTCCCCAGTGACACTAGGCAGGGTGCTCTGGTCGATCATTTCGATGCGAAGCATTTGCCCAGCTGGAAGCTGCTTGGCTGGGTTCGTGCGGCCCTTGACTAACAGAGAACTTTTCTTCCACAGCGACTGAGGCGGCGTTGCGTGGACAGGCGGCACCATCAGCAGTCTTCCGTGGTAGTTCAGAGGTCGCTCGTCTCTGGCATCCTCGTTTATTCTCAGACACGACAACAAACACAGCTGCATATTGCTGTTTTGCAAGTCAAGTTGCCACTCGGTCGTCGAAGACGAGCGAAAACGTGTGGTCTGTGACGAGATTGATGTTTGCGATGCTCTTCATCACAGCCTGTTCCTCTGACCATCTGCCGTTTTTTTTGTGAGAATAGATTGGAAGTAGGGCAAGGCCGACGTTTTCCGGGTGCTCCGCCATCACATGCTGCATCAAATTGATGGATGCTGTAAAGTGGTTCGCGGCAATCAAGCAAGGAGCCGTGTAATTCGCGAAAACCACGGAGACCTCGGCTGAAGATATCTATAGCTACAGTGCAGGTGTCTACAGATGCATTTGCAAAACAAGCCTGAAGCACCATGAATTTCTATCCGGTCACTGCGGCTTGGGTGTGGTGTCGCTGGCTGACAGCAGCAATGTCAGTCTTTGTGTTCGCGATTGCCACCACTCCAGCATCCTTCTCATCCCAGACTCGCAAGGATGCCTCAGCTTCACTTTCTGGACCAGGTCGCAGCGTGCGATTTAACTGCAAAAACACTCTGAGGTATTGCAGGCGAGTCACATATTGTTCGAAGTAGGCATCAACGGCCTTGCGGGCATCAGCCAGGAGCTCCTTCTCATGCTGCAGCTGTTGGTTACGAACAGAGACCAGGTAGTTCTCCTTGTTGCTGCGATGCACCTCGAAGGCTTTCATGTCCCACTCCACTTCGGATTGCATGGCCTCAAAGGTCTTCTGGTCCAAGTTCTTCTGGCAAACATCGAGTTCGCTCGCGGCCCCCATGCTGCCTGTCCCTGGAACTTTGAGGCTTGCAGCATCAATAATCTTCGCCAAGCCTTGTAACACTGGCCAATGAAACAATTTTTTTTTTGGCAAGCAGCACAAAACCCAATTATGCCTATCATATATGTCTGGCTCAGGAGCTCGGGGCGTTCCGGGGCACGAAGTTGTCACTCTTGTTCTGCAGGGCTGAGGAAAGTTCCACCTCCATCATCGGGTCGGCTTGGCGAATTCGGGCAGTCCACCTTGAATCGGGCGATGAGAGCAAGAAGCACGTGATGCTGTTTGATGACAATGGAAGCAACTGGGATCACGAACGGACCAACGGAGTTTACAAGCCAGGAGGCTCCGTATCAATCCGGCTCTGCAGATCCGGAAGAGCCTGCACCACTTCATCCGCCAAAGCCGCAGCGAGTGCACCTGGGAAAACTGACAAGTCTCTTGTACTGGTGTTGTGCTGCAGCAGCAGCAGCAGCAGCAGCAGCAGCAGGGGTAGCAGCATGCAGTCGCCCTGCCAAGGCACACAACTGCGTTCGCTCCTCCAGGTCTTGCTTTGAGGGTTTTGTCCGGAGAGCTTTGGGCGAGTTCAGGAAATTGTTCACCACGGCTTCCATCGCGAGAATGGCGCTTTTCTTCGTGACGGTGCCGTAGGCATTGTTCCATTTGGACTGTCGCGGAGCTTTCGTTGTCCGGAAGACGTAGTTGGGAAGCAATTTTCTGGAGCTCAAGTTGTCGTCTGTAAAAGGAGAGCCTGGTCAGAATTGACTTATGAACTAGCAGCAGGGAGGCGATTCAGAACTAAGACTTCATAGCCGAAGGCGAGCCTGCCCAGCCCATGTCGTTGGCAGCCTTCAAAACGACAGTTCGCATCTCCACCGGCATATCGAGGAGATTCTTGACCGTGTAGTATTTTCCGCCCTGCAATTTGTCGGCCCTTGTGCTCGTCGAGTTCCACAGGTTAATGACCGACGAGCTATCTCCACTGAGCGAGGTCAAAGCATAGACCCAGGTGATTGGGCTCGGAGGTTCTCGGATCGAGCCCCGAGAAGCGATCTTGAAGTTGTAAAACCTCGGCAACTTCGCAGCAGGCCCTGCTTGCCACGAACAATGGGTGCGGAGGGAGTTTAGCGGCCGCCAAGCAACAACTCGTCCGTCTCGTTGCTGAGGTGGATGGCTTTGCACTGGATCTCTTGCAGGCTGGGCACAAGCTTCGGAAAAACCTGTTGGCTGTGATCGAGAGGTGTGCCAGGGACCAACAAGAAGTTACCGTGGGTATCTGCTTGGACTATTTAAAGGTCCAGAACCCACAAGCCTCGCAGATGTCAAGGCCCTCCTTCATCACCCAGGCCAGGCAGGCCATCAGAGTCACAACACGGCTGTGGCCCTTGAGGTACAGGATGTCGAAGTTCGGGACAGGGCCATGTCTCGGAGCATTTGCCTTAGAGCGGAGCAGAAGCCTCCTTCTATGTGTGAGACTTAATGGCATATTCCAGCCAGTTTGGCGCTGATATCTCAGCCCAATGACAAGATTGCGGCACTCTGGGGCCGAGGCCGCCTTCCGAATCAGAACGGGCTCCAGCTTCGTCAAGAAACCGTCCACATGATACTGATCAACGAGCAGCATGGCCTTGTGCAGCTGGACGGGCCCATTGCGGCTGCAGTTCTCAAAGGCAAACTTCTGAATCTCCACCGTCAACACCGGGGCCTGGTCCTCCTGGCCTCGGTCTGCTCCTTGCCATTTGACGTAATCATCGAGGTAGTCGACGGCGTGGTTCCTGCCGACCTGGGTCTCGAGCCAGGCAGCGAACTCGTCTCGACTGGACTGCAGGGCCAAGCGTTCGGACAAAAAGTTCCCGGGGCTGCCATAGCCTCGACAGAGATATCATGGAACAGGGCACAATTAATTCACGAAGCCTCCGTGCTGCCTCAGAGCCTGCGAAGCAGTCCTTCAACAGCTTCAAACTGTCTTCCTGGTCCTCCACAGGTGGTGCCGTACTGGTCGGTGCCACGGAGAATGCATCCATCATCGTTTCATCTGCAGGACCCTCCGTGGGATCTTGCTTCAACAGCTCGTCCACGGCAGACAGCTGCTGCTGCTCGGGGTTTGACATGTCTGTCCAAGCAAAGCTTCAAAGAAACAGCGAGGTTCGGGTGCTGTCTGCGACGGAGCTGGAAAGCTGCAGGACCCAAAGGAATCGTCATTCGCTGCTTAAAATGATCGACACCCCAAATTAAAAGATTGCGCCAATCGTTAGAATCCTTCCAACTCCAGGTCAAATTTCGTGACCTCGAGTTAGAACGGTTTCATTTGAAATCGTTCCTTTGCTTATTGTTGATTCAAAATCCTTCTAACTCCTGGTGCCGTTTCGGAAGATAGATTTGGAAGGATTTGTTTTTTAATAAAGAGATAGAACGGTTTCAAATGAAACCGTTCCTTCTCCGAGTCAAATTTCGTGACCTCGAGTTAGAAGGATTTTGAATACAAAAGCGTTGGCAAAAGCGTTGGCGGATTCAATGCTTGGCAGAAACAATCAGGTAATTTGGGCAGGGAGATAGAACGGTTTCAAATGAAACCGTTCCTTTTTCCAGGTTTTGAGCGTTTTGAGAAAATATTGCTCTAGCCGGGACAATCAGCGTATTTGGGCGTTTGGCCGGCCCGGCCGGCGGGAGCTCAGTTCAAGGTGTCATCCTGGTACTTTGCTGTGTCCTAAACCCTGGAAAAGGGAAAAGATAATCGCTTCTTTTTTTCTCACTGTGATTCGCAGATCTCCGATTGCACTTCCTGTAGCTTCTACTCGCAACACTCCGTGTCCGGGTGCTTTATGCGATCGTAATAAAAGCGGTCTCGGTCATCCAGAAACTGCACAAAATAGGCTCGTGCACAAAAGGCACAGAGCCAGTTCTTCTGGATAATGCCTATGCAGGATCTGACCTCATGTCTTGGCTTATGCAAGAGCCCGCTCAGTATCAGCGCCTGCTCTTCTGCAGTCGGACTCGGTGTAGTCGCCGTGCTGCTAGCTGACTGCATTGGAAGCGGCGAAGTAGTCGTCGTGCTGGTAGCTGCCTGCAGTGGAAGCGGCGAAGTAGTCGTCGTGCTGGTAGCTGACTGCAGATTCGGCGGCACAGGCAGCTGCATGATATGTTATGGTAGCTCGAGACCGCAAGCAAAATTTCAATCCGAAAAGCTGCGACAGAGTAGCAGCTTCTGGGCAAGACATCGTCTGAAGCAAACTGTTTCTAGGGTTTAGGGTTTAGGATATTCAGAGTTTAGGGTCTAAAAGCTTTCGGCCTGAAGCCATGCACTCACAGCTCACACGACAAATAGCAAAGGCCAAAGCACAGCCCTTTTACTTTGCGGATAGCATGCCCAAGTCAGTCAGTCATTATTCGGCTCATTATTCGGCTCTTGCGACGGTTCAGCTTCAGAATTCGCAGCCCGCCATGCTGCTCGCCGAGCTGCTTTCTGGACGTCCTCCATGTTCCAGTAAGCGGCGATGCAGTGGATGCAGTAGTGCGATCCGTGTCGCTCTTTGGTGCGGCCGCAGATGCGACCACAGTCGCAGCGCCCCGAACAAGGATTCTCACTTTGGTAGCGGCGGGAGCAAACATTCCCCATGATAGCTGCAAGCAGCTACGGCCTTGTCAAGTGATCCTAGAGCCAACAATCTGCCAGGGACAGGCATGACCTGCCACATCAAACAAAACAACTGCAGCAAGTTGCAAACACTACGGAGCCCACTCAGCTGTTACAGCAGCAGCATCACAGGACTCAGAACCAAGAGCAGTGGACCTGGCACCAGTCGCAGATCAAGGACAGAAGCGTTCGCTCACTCTAAAGCTGCAAGCGGGCCACAACAAACAAGATGTTCTGAAGACAGATTCGGAAAATCCTTTTCTTGCTTCTGGCTCGCAGGACCCGTGTCGGATCTAGGCCTCGACCTCGTCTGAGTCAATGGCTTCTTCAAGACAAGCGATGACATGTTTCAGTCATCCTGGCAGATAAGAACCAGAGAGCCCGATACTTTTTTCGGGATAGCACATCCAGCACCATCCCTGGCAGAATCACCTCCGTTTTAGTGTGCCAAAACAAGGACCTCCTGTTAGACTGTTCTGTAGTCGGTGTGGGGTTTGGGACACGAGGCATTGCTGCTCAGGTGCTGGGATGTGTTAACCCCCAAGACCTTTGAAAACTTGAACCTCAGCTGCCCTCACTGTCCGCCACGGCGTCCGCCACGACCGCCGCCTGCACGACCACCGCCGGCACGACCGCCGCCACGACCACGACGACCACGTCCATCGCCTTTGGCTGCTCCGGCCGCTTCCGGAGCCACAGGCGGTGCTGGCGCTGCAACTGCATTGGCTCTTCCACGACCGCCGCCTCGAGGAACATAATCTGGGCGGCGACATTGACGACATCCCATGGCAGCGTAGCGGCACTTGCCACAGCCCAACTGTCGAGGCACTGCACCTGCCTCTGGGTTGGGCACTGCTACCGGCGGTTCCGGTTCCCTGGGAGCAGGTGCTGCAGCTGGACCTTCTGGTGGCGGTGGTGGTGGTGGTGCTGCTGCTGCTGCCTCTGCGACAGCAGCGGCTGCTCGGCGCTTGCGTCTTGCATTGTCCCTGGCCGTGACCGCAATTCTGTCAGCGTCTGCTTCTACCAAACGAACTGGCCCAGGAGCGTACTGTTCCCACCTCAGTCGTTGCAGCAGCAAGGAAACAAGGCCCCTGCAGCATGCACCAAAGCAACAAACTAAAAGGAAAATCACCCACTGAGAAAATGGCCCAGCAGGACTGGCACGTCGCAGGTCCACTTTCTGATCATTCCAAATCCATTGGAAAGGCTCAAGCTCGTCCAACACAGCCCTCTCGTTCCGGTCAACCCAGTCCAGCAGGTACTGCTTCGCAGAGTGCAGGTTCCAGGGGTCGGAGCCGAAGACATTTGCAGCCTTGCGAAACCTGAGTTGGAACAAGGGTTTCTTTGAGTGCAGAAGCATCGGGATCCTGGGACTAACTAAGTCTTGGCTAAGAACTTCGACCTCGTGCCGCACTAACTGCTTTCTTGGAAGCTCCTCGCGAGCCCTTGCAGGCAAAGCATTTCGCTTGTGCACTTTCAGCGGCACATCATCGAGACGGCTGAGGAATGCAGCCGGCAGGATGCAAAGTGGGGCCTGGGACAAGTCTGGGCTGGAAACCCACTCTTTCACCAACAGCACGGCGTCGTCCTCGGATGCGGGCACGTCCTGCAGCGAAGCTCCCAGATGAGAAAATTCAGCCTTCACAGAAGAGTATTGCTTGACTGTTGGTGCTTCGGACAGTCCTCACGAAGCTCCTTCACGGTCCAGGAGCTTTCAGTGTGCCGATCATACTGTGCCAGATCCTCGCTGTTTCCGAGGGTCGCCAAAGTATAACTTCAGAAGCAAGCCCGATGAGAAGGACTCCTACATCTCTTGAGTGCAGAGCGAGTTTCCGCTCGCCTCACGAACCTCCAACAGTGCGTGGTGTGGAGGACATGTGCTTTGGGGTTCGGAGTCAGCCCGGCAACGGTAATGCCAAGCTCGGAGAAGTAGAGCTTGAAGTCGAAGCTCCCCTTCATAACCTTCAAGATCATGGTCCGCCCTCTGGCCGGGTGCACGTTTTTTTCGATGCAGCGGATAAAGTCCTTGAATGCAAGGATGCAGCAGCAGTACGACCCTTGCACTGGACAACCGATGACTGTTCAGTGCCCATTGATCTGCAAAACAGGAGCCAGGGGAGTCTCCAGCGTCGCGGCCTGGCTCAAAGCCGTTGATACGATGCTGAACCTCTGGTCCAGAGGGCCGCGCGTGTGGCCCACTGGCCCGAAGATGTGCGAGATGGACCGGAATCTCGGTTGTGCAGCATGGTGCACGAATCCCTGCAGCAAAACCTTATTCAGCAACTCAGTTAGGGAGCTCGTCATAGCTCGTCCTTCTTGATTGTTGAAGGACTGGTGGAAATACAAAGCAACGTGTGGCATGTCACAGCCAAACATCATAAACCTTCAAAGCAGCACAAGGAAACGAAGGCATCGCCAAGATGCTTTTTCCGGGCCACTGCCCAGGACGACATCATAACCACATGTTGGTTCTTGCCCTCTCGGCAAGTGTTGTCCGTCTGACACAGGCTGCAACAGGCCAAGAAAATTACAGGCATACAACGGACAAGCAGCCTCAAAAAGCCTTACATGAGAAAGGTGTGACAACCAATCCGGCCTCGACAACCAAGTGGGGCGGAAGCCCCAAGCCTCGCTTGGACAACTCGCCTTGTGCCTGGTCGAGACCCTCGCAAAGGAGCGAGATTTCGTTGCTCGAGTCTTTCGGTGAGTCCGATTCGAAGAGGAAGTAGCACTCGCAAACCTGAGTCGACTCAGCAAAACCCCTTCCTTGCCATGTGAAGAGACAGCAAGTACACCTCTTGCCATCAAGTCTCTCCCCAGACCAGGCAGCCTCCCAAGTGAAGCTGCGGTCTCCAAAGAGACTCCAGCGACTTCGAAGACGACGTGTTCCGTGGCACTTTGAACTTGGATTGATCACAAAAGTCCACGTCGACTTTTAGCAAGCCCGAGGCGTTCTCCGAGGAGTCTCTGCATGACCCTTCGCTCATGTGCGAGTAGCGAGTCTGCACACACCGATACTCCTTCACCAGTTGCAGGTGATGTCGCTGGGCCTGTAGAATCTTTTCCATCTCATCTGACACCGTGCCCATGGCCGACTTTGCCCTCACCGAGAACTCGGCACAAGTGGGGCACCTGGCAAATCTGCGACTGGAAACTGTGCTCGAAAAAAATGGCATGCTGCGGAACTCAGACTCCGACATCCGATGCTTCCAACTAGCCATGAATCTCACACACTACTTTCATTGCAATCCCGACATTGAAAATTGCACCATAGCAGCAGGCGAACCTGGCGTGCTGGGACAATTTGCGAAATGCCAGTGCTCCCCTCTCGAGCCACACTGCGAGAACTCTGCGGAAGGTGGCGAAGGAGCTCTTTTCCTCCTGCGACCAGATCTTGTATTCCTCGTACAAGGACGTGTAGGTCCTCCACCCCAAGTACCGCTTCTCCCGTAGGCCTGGTCCTGCCGTGCACTGGGA